CATAGTCAAGGACACAATGCTCCCCCAACCAAAGCAAACACCTGGTACACCCATTGCGCAGATGGGTAGTGCCCTCCCAAACTCTCTCAGTGCACATGGAGCAAATCCTTGCAAATACCTTGAGTGAGTGACCTGAAACACAGAGAGGTTTACAGTGCTGCCCAAGCAGAATTCAAAATAAAACAACACTCAATTCTGAAATAAAATTTTACTTCTATGAAATGATACAAAACATCTTCATAGGCTGAAATTAAAATGGGTTCTGGAGATTTTCTGACTTTATTTTTGACCCATGCCTTTCTAGAGTCCTGAGCATGCATTCAGTTTTCCTGTTAGGCTATCCAGCCCTGATCACAGGTTTCGTTCTCTCAGCTCTGTGTCTGGTGATTCTCTTGTGTCACCCATATGGTTTTTCTAGACTGTCCATTTTCTCCAGTCCCTATCCCCCACCCAACAGAGAGACTGAGCTCCACTTTCACTGAGACAGTAGAGGTAAAACCCACTCCAGATTCCCATTCCTTTCTCTCACCATTCAAAACAAAGAAATTATAACTAAAGTGAATTGAGCACTGACTATCTGCCCAGCACTGTACTAAACACAAGATAGATATTTTGTTATCACTTAAAGATGATAAGAAATCTTGAGGCAGATATTATTATTATCCCCCAAATTAAACAACTTGCTCATGGTCACTGTGTCAATTGAAGTTTTTAGCAAAGGAATCCTTTAGCTGTTTGGCAGTCCAGGGAATGCATAGTCAGGCTTTAAAGATAGGTTGGGAGGTAGGTAGGTAGAGCCAGAGTGAAAAATCACCCTGTTTAGGGAGGATACAGCTGCCACTGAAAACCATTGCTTGGGACCCTGAGCTCCACTCCTGCTTACTCTGCGTCCCTGCTGCCCCTGGTCACTGGATGTCCCTATGGGCTCTTATGCTGAAATAAACCCTCCACTGTTCCTGCTTCCTGGAATCACGAGCTCCTGATTTAAAAAAACAGACCCACAGAATTCGGGCATCTGATTGGCCGAGCCTCTGCCGTGTGCTCACATCCTAGCTGCAAGAGAGTCAAGAAAACAAGTATTTGAACTTTAGGAGTCAGCACTGCCCCTCCCCAAGATTGCTATAGTGAGGGGATTTTCCCAAAATGAGAAGGTGGAAGCAGATGGTAGACAGACAACAAAACAAAACAGAGAAATATCTACAGTAGCCATATATGTAGCAGAGGCAGAATTTGAATTCAGGTCTATTTGACATAAGTTTGAGATTTTAAGGGCAGTCTAGGCAGTTATTCTATAAACTCCCTTTATGTCCAAAGAGAGTTTTCTCTGTTGAAGTCCAAAGTTTCCATTTTTTAAAAGATTTTTTAAAATTGATTTTTAGAGAGGAAGGGAGAGGGAGAGAAACATCGACATCGCACCCTGTATGGGGGATTGAGCCCCACAACGTGGGCATGTGCCCTGACCAGGAATTGAACCAGCAGCTTTTCAGTGTGTGGGACGACACCCAACCAATTGAACCACACCAGCCAGGGCGCCAGTGTTTCCATTTAATTCTTTTTTTTTTTTTTTTTTATCCTTACCCGAGGACATTTTTGCAATTTTTGTACAGATAGAGTGGGAGGGAGAGAGAGAGTGAGAAACATCGACGTGAAAGGGACACATCGAGTGGCTGCCACCCACACGACCGACCAGGGCCGGGGACAAACTGCAACCGAAGTACGTGCCCTTAGCGGGAACCGAACCCGGGTCTCTCCAGACCGCAGGCCAACGCTCTAACCGCTGAGCCAAACCGGCCAGGGCTCCATTTAATTCTTGACTCCACTCCCTTCTGCTTCCCTTGGATTTTTCTCTAACAAACCACTCCTATATTTATATTTTCAATATCTCTGATTATACAGTGTATTTTTCCTCAGCTTAAACAATGTTACATCTCCCACATCTCCCAGAACCGTCTCCTTGGTCTGGGCCCAGAGAGTCCTGAGTTTGAATCCTGACTCCTCCCTCCCCCACCCTAGTGACCCTGGTTCAGTCATTTCACCTCTCTGAGCCATGTCTTACTCCTTAGTCTTACATATTTCCTGTGCAGATTAATCCCAGACAATGCTCAATACATAGTTGATGGTATTATCATAAACATTAGTTCCATCACAGCTGGGGGTGGGAATGGGTAGTGACTACAAATTAGTATGGGGGGTATTTTTTGGGTGATGGAAATGTTCTAAGATTGGACTGTAGTGACGGTAATACAACTCTAAATTTACAGAAACTCATTGCATTGTACACTTACTGAGTGGTTTTTATGGCATGTAACTTATACTTCAATAAAGCTGTTATAAAATAACGAAGGTCACAAACCAGTGTTACTCTGATCTTACCCCCACCCTCTCTCTGTAGAGACTCCTCAAGTTTTTCTAGATAAGAATCCCTAGAGGCTTCTTGCAGACTGGCTTCCTCACGTGGCTGAGAGCCACCCCAAGTCTGAAGAAACAGTAGGAGACAAGGCTGTGATTACCATAACTGGGAGCCAGTCAGACCTGAATTCAAATTCTGAACTCCTCATAGGGTCGCCTGGGCAAAATGTTTACTCTTCTGGACTTGAGTTTTCAGATTAGTACAATGGGGGAAGACTTTTTGGTTGTTGTGATAATGAAAAGAGACTATACCTGCGAAATACTTGTCACCAAACCTAGCAGAAAGTCAGCGCTCATGAGCTGGTTACTATGGCTACTTCCACAGCCTGGGGAAGGGTCCCTTCTGAGGATTCCAGCTTTCAGTGATGTTTTTCTTCTCTCACACCCTTTATATGTATGCTCTCTCAGCTACAGTGCAGGCCCTTTGATTTCTCCTGCGACAGAAGCAGCCTCCTTACTAATCTTTCCTCACTTGCCTGTGCCCCGGTCATTATCTACAGCACCAGCTGTCAGAGTAATTTTTCTAGGTTACAAAAAAAATATCTGACCATGCCACCATGGTCCTCTCTGCAAGATCTTACTATTCCCAGTTGCTTACAGGATGGACTCTAAAGCCCTGGAGTTGATGATTTGGTGTCTGCCTCAACATCGCTCCTTCTCTCACAAACATCCGCAATACAGCTGTTTACTGACCATTGTCCTGATCTTCCTCTATGAAATCTGCTCTCTATTCTCCACTCTTCTCCCTGCCAAGAAGCCCCTGAGCAGCTTGCTTCGCCCGACTGTCCCAATTTTGTCACATGTGCATTGAAGGTTTATGATTTCTGCTTCTGAGGATTGTTCTGAAGATAATGATAAATATGAGAATGGCAATAATAACAATAATGGAAAATAACAATAATAATAGTAATTATTCAGCACCAACTCTGTGTCAGGTACTAATCAATTTACATAAATTATCCCATTTAATTAAATCAGGTACAGTTATGATTTATATTTTATCATAGGAGGCTCAGAAAATTTACTCAAGGCCCACAGGTACCAAGCATAAAAGCCAACACTAAAATCCAGATCTGTTTGGTACCAAAACCTATTCTCCAATCTTGGTATTCTAGGGTTCTAGAATTCTCTTCTTTCTTCATTTCCTCTAAAGTCTTTTAAGTTCTGCCTGAGGCCCAGCCCTTGTTCAGCTTTTTCAGAAGCTAAGCTGTAGGGGCATCTCTACACTCTAGAAGGACTTGGTTGCCTCCCTATTAAATCACTTCTCCTAGCCTTACTAAATGGATGTTATTTATTCAGCCTACAAATATTTATTAAATACCTGCAATGTGCCAGGTGTATCAGAGATTTCTAGCTGTTCTTCAGTAGCTGTCTTCCCCTTCTTAGTAAGACAACCCCTAAATTTTAGCTAGGTATGGTTGCCCAGAATAAAGAAAATATTTCCATTCTACCTTGCAGCCAGGCGTGGCCATCTGAATGAGCCCTGGCCAATGGCCTGGAGTGGAAGTGATGTGTGCAGATTCTGAGTGGAGTCCTCAGGAGGAAAGGTATGCATTTTATTTCCTTCTTGCTCCTCCCTGTGATGGCTGCAGTGGGGAATTAATGGTGGGAAATGGAGCAGCCCTCGTGGATCATCAGATGAAGCTGCCTGTGGATGGCAGAGCATCCAGCCAGGAGGAATCTTGCTCCTGCTGAATGGTGAAGTTGCTACACTTAACTGCTTGCCCAGACTTTTACATAAGAAAGAAACCATGTCTATCTTTTGGAATCACTGTTTGGGGAAAAAATATTTGTTAAAACAGTTGAATTAATATTTAATTACACTCTAATTACACTTAATTATACCAGCTGATGTGATGGGCACTGGGGTTCCATGGCAAATTTCTGACATTTTAATGGGAGAGACAAAGATTAAACATTTGAAATAAATTAAAAAAAACCTGATACATCTTTGAAGGTCACAAAACAAGTTATTATGATACAGAGTGACTGCATGTGGGGGTACCATTATCTAAGGTGACCAGGAAAAGCCTCTCGGAGGAGGTGACCTTTGGGATGAGACTGAACAATGAGCAGAAGCCAGCCATGGGTAGGTTGGAGGGGGAGACTTTAGAGGAGGAACAAATTCCCTGAAATGGGAATGAGATTAGCAAGTTCAAGGTCCAGGAAGGATACTTGTGTGCATCCTTCTGTTAGAAAGCTCAGAATGTGTTAACAATAAAACAATTAATTAATTAAAAAAAAACACTGAGAATGTTTTTTTTTTTTTTTTTTTTAATGAAATGTTTCTTGACATGTAGTAATTAGATAATTCCCCTGTGGGTCTCAAAAAGCCAAATGGCTTTAATCGGTCTGTTTCCTTACCAGAAGGGAGCGCCACTTTGGCATGGGCGCTGGCCAGTTCCCCACATGCTCATCTTGTGCTTTGCTGCCACATCTGCTACACACTGTCCTTTGACCTGGCTGACCTCATATAAATCCTCTTCACTGCCCACGTAACTACCCATAAAATGAGGCTCATCCCGACTGCAGAGAACTCTATTTCCATGCCCGGCAACACAGCCACCTCCTTCTCCTGTGCCCTGCCAGTCATGAAGTCTCTATTCCTGTTCCTTGCCATTCTTCTGGCCATCGAACCAGTGGTATCAGGTAACTTGGGTCTCTCTCGAGTATCTGGGATCCCAGTAATGAACTTCTCTTCTTCCTCTTCCTCCCCACTATGGGCAGCATCTGAAGCTTATCTTCATTTCATGTAGCTTTGGGAGGTTTCCCCATGATCATCTCATGTCTACATCTCCCCCTGATGCTTTTTTGCCAAGGTGGTGGGATGACAGATGTTTGGAGCATCTGGGATTTAAGGGAAGGATGGTATTCTGGTGGGATCTTGGGAGCGGGCTTAGGGATGAAGAGTTGAGTGTAAGTTGGGGACTTTTGGGGGCTTTGGGAGATTAGATTGAAGGCTGGGAGTAAGTTGTGATGGGGAGAAAGACCTTAGGGTTGGAGTGAGAGAGGAAAGATTCGAATGAGCTGGAGGTGAGGAGTTGGGTTTCACTGATGGTTTGGGGTGGGCTGGAGAGGGCATGGGAATTTGGGTGAGTGGAACTAGTTTTGAGGATTAGACTGGGGGTTGGCTGAGGCTGGGAGTTGGTACTGGATTAGGCAGGGTATTTGCTAGAGGTTCAGCTTGGTGAGGGACTACTGCTCAGAACTGAGCTGGTGACTTGATTAGATTTGGGTTTGGCTTGAAGTTGAGGCTCAAGGGGCATTGAGCTGGGTAAGGTTGCGAGTTCTAATTAAGATTGGACTGGGTTTTGAATTGGGTGAATATGGGGTCAAAGATAATTGGAGTTGGGTTACAGCTGGAGCTGGGGCTTGTTGGGCTTAAGTTTGATAGGTCCAAGCTATCGATAAAGAGCCAGCTCTATTGAAATGTGGGTGTGTCCCCTTTATCCCCTAATGTTATAGGTGTTTTTTTATTCTTTCCTCATCATTCCCAAGCTCTATTAAGTGTAACTTTCATTGATAGCAATTGATCTCAAAATTAGGAGTAGGAGGTTGGGTGGAGGGTAGGAAGAAAGAGGGGTGGAATGTCTATAAAAGGCTTTTTAAAAAACCTGGTTAGTCCTTGTTTTGGAACAATTGTCTCAGTTTTTTCTCCTCTCAAGATCCCTTGTCTCCATTCCTGAGACTAGCTCTAGCACTACAGATCCACCCCCTCCCCCAGTCTTCTTGCTCCTTCTCTGCTTCCTATCATCTCTCCTCTTGAGGGATACTAACATGGTTGTTCCTGTACCCAGTAGCAGAGTGTTGGATGAATGGACGATGCCGGTTGGTATGTAAAAATGATGAAGAGAACGTCCTACGCTGCTCAAATCGTAAACGGTGCTGTATCCTTAGTCGTTACTTAACAATGAATCCAATAACAATTGATGGAATACTCCCCTGGACCACTCCTTATCCGACTAGACAAGTAAAACAAAAGACCAGATCTGGCAGCAGTGTGGGAAGATAAGTGAAAATCACGGAAAAAAGTGACTTGGCTTCAAGTTTCTTGGTTTCCACGTTCCATTAAAACTTTTAAATCTGTTTCTTGTGCCTATCAATCATGAGAAATGATGCTCCAGATGGGTTGAGGGTGAAGAGATGGCAAAGGAGGGGTTAATAGGTAGCAGAGAGACATCCCTGAGGCTAGGCCACAGCAATAGAGTGATGATTACAGTCTTGAAGAGAGTTCCTCAGCTTCCAGCTGCAGGAAAGGCTTTTGGGTCAGGAGTGGACTGAGGAGCACATGTGGAAAGCTGAAATTTAAAGGCACAGCAGATACCTACAGAGTGGGAGAACTCTTGGCTGGGAGAGTTGATCTATTTTGGGGTGAATGGACTGAGTGTGGACAAGGACTGAGTAGAGCCCAAATCTTTGGATTTCTGGGTAAGTTGACTGAGATACCTTTTGATGCTCAAGAGCCCACAGCCCCAAGGATCAGACAGTTTCTAAGTACTAAAAAAAGATAAAATATATGAATTTACTAATTTACAAATGAATTTATTATTCATTTTTTACATTCTTTCATGTATTCATTCACTCACCTTGGCTCTGCCACTTTCCACTGCCAGACTCTATGCACATACACCTCCCAGAGTGTCAGCTTCCCATCTGCAAAACTGAAATAATAGAACATATCTCAGGATGTGGTAAGAATGAAATGAGAAAATATAGAGCACACTGCCCAGTACATAGTAAGATCTCAAATAAATGCTCATTGTTGCTATTGTTCATTGATTTAAAGCATTTAAGAAATATATGCTGTGCGTCTTCCAATTGTGTTAAACTTTGAGGGACATAGAAGCCTGTCTCTTTTGAACTAAGAATTTAGCCTGGGAGAAGGCTCACCCATGGGGAACGTTCAAGAATTCTGAGTGTGAATATAAAGGATTCTACAGGTGTCTTCCCAGGCATTGTTACCTTAAATCTCATTTTCTAAGCTTCATTTATCTAACACAAGAGAACAACACAGTGTTCTGTGCAGTGAGGTCAGAGAACAGAGTGTTCTGCAAAGCACAGTGCATGACATAGAGACAGATAGAAGTTGTTCACTCTGATCCATGAAAATAATTTGCTCTCAATTTGTATTTTCAGACTCTGGAAAGAGAGACCGCCTTCTCTAATCCCGATCCTACTCTCTAGGCTTCCTCTGGCTAAGTCCCTTCCCATGGGGTGAAGGGCTAATGGGGGCAAGGGAGTTATATCTACCTAGAAACTGTGGCCTCACCACACCCCCTTCCCACTTCCTAGACTATACTCTGAGTAGCTGAGACCTGCAATTTCCTGCCCAAAGAACCATTGTACCAGTTTCCAGGGACTGCATGGGCTTTTTCTTAGGTTCATCCTGGAGGGTGGGGCTCACTGTGTGTGACATCCTTAGGCAGGAGGAGTGTCAGGGGCTATGGCAGAGCTTGGATGTTCAGGCTGGTGCGTCCATGTCTGTGTGTATGAGACTCCTCGCAGCATGGGGCAGAGCTGGGGATGTGCGAGGAGAGAGGTGGGCTGGGGGCTGAGCCAGCTTTCTAATGCTTCCATGTTCTTGCATGGAACTCGGAAGAATCTAAGAACAGTAAATTCAGATCTGACCTTTCAGGCGATCATGAAGAGATATTTAATAAAGGGCAATAGGATATATTTTATTTATTCTGTTTGCTTGCTTGATTCATAACTGTTAAATATTCAAACATATGATTTATGAGCCTCCATTTGTATTTTCCCCAGGACCCACAAATGTTAGGATTGTGCCTGGAATTTGGGTACTGCTCTGACTCGCAACCCATGGTTTCAGTCTTTTTTTAAAAACCATTTTTTATTTTTCAATTACAGTAACATACATTATTATATTAGTTTCAGATGTACACCCCAGTGATTAGACATTATAGAACTTGCTAAGTGATCATCTGATAAATCTGACACCCATCTGACACACCATGCCTAGTTATCAGACTATTGTTGACTATATTCTCGACGCTGTACTCTACATCCCCAGGAATATTCTGTAATATGTGCTTTCTGTCTCGGTGCCTGTCTGTAACTGGGGACTCTCAGACTGTAGCTACTTGTGCTTGAAGCCTGGATGTGGCCAAAATACTTCCTCAATGGCCTCCCTGCCTCTAGATTTTTTTGCATTAGTTCTTCTGACCATGTTGCTCTCTGCTTTTTTTCCATGACTGTCACTTACAGACTTTCTCTTCAGCTCCACCAACCCTTTTACCATCCTTTCCTGCCCCTCACATTGCCTTTGTTCATGGTTTTCCTCCACCTCATCCTCAACACCAGGCTCATCTCTGTGATGAACTCCTCACCCTTCGAAGCCCAGTTAGTGTCTATAACTCATGAAAGCCTCCACATAAGCTCACTGTTTTTTACAATTATAATAATAGTTCTCATTGATACTTATGTGTCAGGCACTGTACATGGTGTTTATAGGCCTAAAATAATTTCATTTTTATTTTTTACTTTTTTTTTGGTACGTGCCCCTAGCGGGAATCGAACCTGGGACTCTCTGGTTCACAGGCTGACGCTCCAACCGCTGAGCCAAACCGGCCAGGGCTCATTTCATTTTATAACAGCCCTCTTATTATCTCTATCTTATTGATGAAGCAACTGAGATCTAGAGAGGTGATATAATTAGCAAAGGTCACACAATATTAAGATTGAGCAGGGATTCACAGTGAGTTCTGATTGGCTTCACGAAGTATCACTCTTAAGAAGATATGGCTTATATCACATTATTGTGCAATTATTTCAGTCACTGACCCCTTCCCACCAATCCCCCAAACATACACATACCAGGATCTTATTCATGTCTACATGCCTAGTGTCAAGCCCAATGCTCAGCAAAGATGCGACTTGGTGTTTCTTGAGTGAATGAATAGATGAATGATGAATTCATGTCTGAAAGCATAAGTGGGTTGGGAGGTGGGTAAAGATGGCTAATGCATCAGGCATGAATCAGGGTGGGATCCTTTCTGGGCTGGAGGGACAGAGGACCACTGCTTCAGGTGTATTTGGCTCTGGCTGGCAGTGTTAGGAAGGATGTAGAGCAGCCCATGAGCCTTGCTCAAGTTGGTTCTTACTCATCAGTTAGTTTGCTCTTAAAACACATTGATTTCATAATGTGGGAGGTGGTCGGAGGAGAGTCTCAGGATTCTCCAATCTCTGAGGCCTGGTGTTAACCTCTCCTCACATAGCCATTCATGCCCCCACCAAGTTAACTCATTTGAGGCCTTGACCCATTCACTCGGCCAACATAATTTATTAAGAACCTCCTTCATGCTTCACACAGGGCATGTGGAGAGACAGCTCTGGGGAGTGACAGAATGATGGGGTGAGAAGGGGGCTTGGAACTCACCATTGAGACACAGTAAGTTTTCAGAAGACACTTAACTCCATATCTAAATCTCTGAACTTGGAATCTAGGCATGTGAAATTTTGAAAATGCCCTCAGATTATTCCTTTGGGACATAAAGTCCCATCCCCCAGTTCCCCTGCCAGACTTTCTTCATTCCTAATAGCCCTGAAATTGTGAGAATCTTTGATTTAGGCAACTTTCCCTTGTCTTCCCATTTCACAGATGGGGAAACTGAAGCCCAAGTAGGAAAAGTGACCTATGTTCATAAGTAGGTTTAAGAAAATGCTGGAATTCATAAGCAGGTCTTCTGTGACTTCTAGTGAGGGGGCTGAGGGAACATTGAAGATGATATGAAGTCGATGTGGGTGATACAACGAACAGTCACACAGAGCGACATGGGGTCAACAGGAAGGCAGGTGTGAGGAACTGCAAAGCCCCTGACAAAAACTTTAGGGTGAAACCTCTCTCTGTGGGTGGAATGGAATTTCTCTAGGGGGAAGGTTTGGAACAGGCTCGTCTGCCTGCTCTGCCATCTCAAGTGCGTAGTTCTGTTCACCCCTCTCTTAGATGCAGATCTTACATTGGCCTTCCTTCTCAGGGAAGGTGGGAAAGGATCTCATGTCTGAGGGGATGTGACAGAAAGGGTGTGGGTTTTGCTCTAGTAAGTGTGCCTTGAATCTCTCTTTTCTTCCTTATAGGCTAGACTGAGGAGTGATGAAGGTGGATAGAAACATTGGTAGTGAATAGCAACCACTTTGGGGTAGAAGGATGACCTGACAGTTATAGAAGTATAGTCTACCAAAGCAAGGTAGACTGGGCACCTGTCTTGGACCTTCCTGGAATTTATACACAGGTCTGCTGGTGTAGATGGAGCTCAGTTCAGTCTCTGTTCTGTTTCCCAGTACCCATAATCTAAGTTACATTTGGTACTTAGATGAATAAACAATCTTTGATTCTTGTCCAAGGTCCATAGGAGAAAAAAATATGTTCTTCTTATTCTCCTTACCCTTGCTTAGGCAACATATGCTCTCTGTTCGAAATAAAATGGACTAGATCTCTTTTATTCAATGCAAGGGCTTAGAATATCATTGTGTGTGTGTGTGTGTGTGTGTGTGTGTGTGTGTACATGTACATTAGACTTTGCATTAAGCCCAAGATTGGATGCTGATAACCATTTGTGGAATGAATGGCAGGTCCTTGATTGCTAGGTTCAGAAGTTTGGCCTTAAGAGGTTGGCATAAGAGACAGGGACTACTACAGTCTACACAGATGAGAAAGTAGAAGAGAGAAGTACAGAAATATGTCCAAGTTTACACCACAAGTAAAGCAGGAGCTTGGATTTGAAGCCAGGGTTTCTTGAATTCAGATCTGTTCTATTAACCATGCTATTACTCCTTAGGTTATTTTATATATTTGTATTTTAATTATTTAATTAATTAATTTCAGCTTTATTGACATATAAAAGTGTAAGCTATTTGAAGTGCACATTGTCATGATTTGATATACATATACATAGTGAAAGGATTCCCCTCTCTGGTTAAACACATCTATCACCTCACAAATTTATCTTTGTGTGCGTGTGTGTGTGTGTGTGTGTGTGTGTGTGTGAGAGAGAG